GTCAAGGCGCTCTGTTTCCTCTCACACAGCTTAAAGGTCGCGGTCTGAGCTTGGCTGCGTTCACTCCAGTGCTGTCCTCGAGACAGTCTGGTCCCTTCACCTGATGAATGCCACTTGTGTTGTGGCCGAAACGTCGTGAGAAATTTATTGTGTTATTTTATTTTATCAATTTATTATTTTATTCTCATTCTACGTGACTTTACCGAAAGAACCAAAGAAGATATATAAATGTGTCGTTAAACCCGCCTACCACCTGACACAGCCAACTAGTAAGGGTTGTCACGTCAAAAGAACGTGGCAAATTCGTCACTAGTACAGCACACCGGTTTTGTGTTGGAGAGCCAAGCCACAACATTTACAATCTGAGTACGATGTTTCGCCAGTAATTATAACCAGCTTCATCAGGCGACAGCCAAATGTCGTGGCTTGGCTCTGTAGGAATACAAATCGGCTCGCTGGGATTATAGCTCAGGACGCTAACCGTTGGACTACCGCTCCCCATTCAAGCACCAACATCTAAGATATACTATTTCTTCAGTACTAGCTAAGTTACCCGGCTTCGCACAGGTCTCAGTAATCAAATATTAAGGGTAATGTCTTGCCATGCTGGCTTTGTTAGAATAATTGATTTCTGACAGAGAAGTTGGTAAATGTGTGTTTTTGTAACGGGTTTTCGGTTGTGTTATACAATCGCAGAGCTTGTAAATCCGTGGCCCTTGGAGTGCTTCAGGATAGACAATGTGGATGTTTTTTTCCATCTGATAGGTTTAATCGAATGAAGCTTCAATTTTGGCATACATGTCGACAGCAAATTAGTGGAAGAGCTTTTTGCATCTCAAGAAGAGATTTAAGCTGCCGTTTCACACCATGATCCTGAAGGCAAAGAAGCCCATGGCGGCAATCTTTTTGTGTTGGCAACTTGTTGCTGGGTCAGTTTGGCGAAGTGGGAAATGGTAGCCATCATCACCTTGCAGCATTTGCCTCTTGGTGTTGATGACATTTTTTGCAATGCTGGCGAGCCTGTCTAGTATTGTCAGACATGCAAGTAGATCTGTGAGAACAAATGTAGCAGTGCAGTGGAGACACGTATGTTATGGTGAGTGCGTGGAATTGTCGTAGATGAAATGTCAATATGTGTTTGCATGTGTGGCAAAACGGAAGTTGTGAGAATGCCCCGGGCTTTAACACATGGCAAGAGAAAGCAATGGGGGGAGGTGAGGAGCGGGGGGGGGGGGGGGGTGTGCACGTGGTACAGGTGTTGAAGGTGAGCAGGGAAGCTAAAAATAGTGCGAGAAACACACTAACTCACCCGTGAGTGTGTGTGGAGAGTTTGGGGTGTGTTGGTGCAAATTGGTTCACAAAAAAATCTACACAAGCGCAAAGTCTGCTTTATCTTTATAGGTTTATACTAATTTTTTGTCTTGGAATATTTTTTGTATCCGGTTTCTTCTTCTTTATTTCAATTGTATAGTTTATTTGGAATACAGTACAGTACTTAATTCATATGTGATGTCAAATTTCGTTGACGTTGACTTAACGCCATTACTTTGGTAAGGCTTAAGTATTGAATATCGCGCTTTTATCTTTCGCGCAGCAATTTCCAAGATCGTAACCTCCGCGAAATGCAAGGGGCTGCCGTATCTTCTGTCTATTGACTAAAGCAGAGGTGTACGGATTCTCAACAGAAACTAAATCTCTGCATTCTTGATTTAATTAATGCCTGTAGTACCATAAAGAGACTTGGGGCTTTGGGTTGTTATTTGTTTTCAAATCTATGCCTCTGTTCACATTATTTGAGGATTTGTATGATTTTGAGCAGGACAGTCTAAAGTTGCGTGACCAGGAGTCGGAGCCATTTCCTGTTCAACTTGGCTTGTGACAGAAATTCACTCTGGCCCCATGCATTACATTACATAGCATCTTCAATAACTATGTAGTTTGAGAATCTCCAAATCGTCATATGAAAATTATTGCATTCGTTATAGTTACAATGATACGCTCATCAATGCCTGGTTATAGTTAAGGGATCGTTCCCTGCTGGTCAACCATGTCACATCTGATGATTTGGTAATGGCTACTCAGTGAGATGGAATTAGGGCATCTTGTTCTGTGCCTTGATAATTCCATCATGAAATGGGGCCTTGCAAATGTTCCACAAAAATAAATGACCTGCCTGGGAATGTCATGTCATACAACACTGCATCTGCTCAACTCTGCATGAATAATCAGGCAGTTCTACAAGTCTTGTAGGAGCTCCCATACCTGGTTAATGTGTTCACGACCAGCTCTGGTTTGGCAGCCAAAGTCTCAGTTCAAATTAGTCGAGCAGCATTCTTTCATTAGACTGTGTAACTCTGTGTGGAAGGTGCCTAGACTTTTGCTCCGTACAAAGCTTTGTGTGTCCATCGCTAATGTCAAGTCCGTCTGAGACCATCCCTCTCCCTGCCATACTGGCATCGCACCCTCGCCCCTCACCCTTCATCCTGCGGATGTTCGACGCACAGGATGGCACCACTTAGCCAATTCGAGTTGGCCTGACTGAGCTACGTGGGTCACGCGGCCACGAGGCGCTTGTTGGTGAACACAACCCCTGGGCCCTGGCTCTAGGGGTGATATCAATATAGAATATATGTAAGGATGCCCCCCAATAGACTCCCCCTGGAACTCTACCAGACACCTCCCACTGGTCGATGACCCCAGGGCTGGCCCAGGACACGCTGGCGGGACTATGTCGCTGGGCTGGCCTGGGAACGCTTGGGAATTCCCCAGGATGAGCTGGAGTCTGTCGCCAGGGAAAGGGAGGCCTGGACCACCCTTCTCAACGTGCTGCCACCGGCGACCCTCACCAGGACAAGCGTTTTCAGAAACTAACAGACAAAGCTGTGATTCTTCTTGGCCACAGATATTACTCTGTGGATTCAAAATATGAACTTATTTAAATGACTCTCTGTGCTGGCTTATACAGTGAAGGCTGGCCTGCCTATGATTTATCCTCTATTCAACCAGTTTATATTCTATTAGAAGCTTACAGACCCTTAAGATATCAATATAGAATATAATCTTGAGTTTCTTTTGCAGGCGAGGCCGCATTGGTTTGGTCATGAATCCCGCATTCCCAGACACTGCATGCTCAAGCAGCTTTTTGTCCAGATATTAAGGGCTGATCAGGCGAGGCATTGGCTAGAGAAGAGATTGGAGGATGTGGAGGTGATCGGACCTGCCGATGACTGGTGCCAGGAGCGGAGATCGGCCTCTGTGGAGGAGGCCCGTGAGGTATGCTTCATGGCAGATAAGAGATAGTTGCTCTGCAATAACGATGAGGTCGGAAGAGCGACGCCCACATGAATAATAGGTGGAATGCTGGGTTCCTCAAACCCAGCAAGACAGTGGGGAGCACAGCTGGTTCTTCTGTCAGTCATCCCTTGACACCTGGATCATTCCCATTACCTGCTGACACGGAATCCACACTTACATGGCCTTAAATTGCACCTATCATAGCATTAGCACTGGGAAAAGGTTACTTGCAATTCGTCATGAATGTTGGATGTTTTGTTCGTATAATATGTTAATGATCCACGTGAAATGTACGTGTTATTTAAGAGTTTATCTTGCAGTTATTTCACTGCATTATGAACTCAACAATTAGTTTCATTATCGCCGACAGCAAACATGATTGATAACATTGTGTAACAAAAAAAATTTTGACCCTGCGTAGTAAGTGTTATTTTCTAAGTGCTTATGCCTCAAAAGTACAGAAAATGGCTATTATTCCCCACAAACTTTGCTTTTGTGACCAGGACAGTGATCTTTTGAAATGTACCTATTTTCAATGAGAAAACGTGCGCATTTGTGTCATTCCTTTACGTAAAGTCCTGGTTACAAAAGGAAAGTTTGTGGGCATGAGCAATAAAAAAATAACACTAGCCATCCGGCGACAAAAAAAAATCGTGTTACATAGTGTAAGTGAAAGCTGAACTTATTGTGTGCCTCTGCTATGTTGATTGATCTTAAATTAATTACATGGTGAAGTGAGAAAGCATTAATAATGAGCAGATGAAGGTGGCCAGGCATGGTTCTGGACACACCACCACCTTTTTACCATGCCAGTGTGTGACGATGTAAAGTTTGTATTTGCAGTAATGTATATTAACGATTGAACATGGAGGTTAAATCAAAACAATAGTTTATTTTAATTTTCCTCTGGGACTTTTTGTAAGGATGGAAACAGTCAGGAAAATATCTCAGCACATATGCAGCTGAAGTTAGATCTGTTCATCCGAGCATTAAAGCAAATCTGAGCGTGGATTCCACCTCGAAGTTTCGATTGAACATTAATTTATGCATTTCTGCATCATACAAATAGTATTATTTTCAACACACTTTGCTATTATAGCTGAATTTTTCTTAAATATTCCTTTCATAGCTAGACAGCCGAAATTGTGTGCTTGCAGTTTTGGGTAAACATTCATTTTGAAGATACTAGGGCATCCAGGAATATTTATGACCATTGGCCCTCTCATTGTGTGCCTGAACAGCCGGCGTGATGAATTGGGGAATAATTTTCACTATATCATGAATATATGAATAAGTATAGATGTGTAAGTCATGTGTGACTGTATATATGCATTCCTCTGTGCCTTGATACTGACGTAGATGGTGTGGATACATTTTTATGACTGCAGCTGACTCTTCCTCTGACGCTTCCTCTGCAGAATTGGTCTGATGAAGCAACGGCACTCGGCGCAGCTCGGTACAAAAAAGAAACAATGCGACCAGTGTTCATACAGCACGGATAGTACTGGAAGTTTGGCACAGCACAAGAGAATGCACATAGGAGAGAAACCCTTCAAGTGCATTGTGTGTGAGAAGGCATTTGCAGAGTCATCGCATCTTAAAAGACACCAGAGAACACACACGGGAGAGAAAACCTTCAAGTGCAGTGTGTGTGAGAAGGAATTTGCAGAGTCATCACATCTTAAAAAACACCAGAGGACACACAGGGGAGAGAACCCCTTCAAGTGCAGTGTGTGTGAAAAGGCATTTGCAGAGTTATCACATCTTAAAAACCACCAGAGAACACACACAGGAGAGAAACCCTTCAAGTGCAGTGTCTGTGAGAAGGCATTTGCACATTCATCAGGTCTTCAGATCCACCAGAGAACACACACAGGAGAGAAACCCTTCAAGTGCACTGTGTGTGGAAGCGCATTTGCACGGTCATCAAATCTTCAGATCCACCAGAGAAGGCACACAGGAGAGAAACCCTTCAAGTGCACTGTCTGTGAGAAGACATTTTCACAGTCGTCAGTTCTTCAGAGCCACCAGAGAACACACACAGGAGAGAAACCCTTCAAGTGCACTGTCTGTGAGAAGGCATTTGCACATTCATCAGGTCTTCAGATCCACCAGAGAACACACACAGGAGAGAAACCCTTCAAGTGCACTGTCTGTGAGAAGACATTTTCACAGTCGTCAGTTCTTCAGAGCCACCAGAGAACACACACAGGAGAGAAACCCTTCAAGTGCACTGTCTGTGAGAAGGCATTTGCACATTCATCAGGTCTTCAGATCCACCAGAGAACACACACAGGAGAGAAACCCTTCAAGTGCACTGTGTGTGGAAGCGCATTTGCACGGTCATCAGATCTTCAGAGACACAAGAGAAGGCACACAGGAGAGAACCCCTTCAAGTGCACTCTGTGCAGGAAGGCGTTTGCACGGTCATCACGTCTTCAAACACACCAGAGGACACACACAGGAGAAAAACCCTTCAAGTGCACTGTGTGTGAGAAGGAATTTTCACAGTCATCAAATCTTAAAATACACCAGAGAACGCACACAGGAGAGAAACCCTTCAAGTGCAGTGTGTGTGGGAAGGCATTTTCAACTTCATTTTATGTTAAAGCACACCAGAGAATACACACAGGAGATAACCCCTTCAAGTGCAGTGTGTGTGAGAAGGAATTTTCACAGTCATCAAATCTTAAAAAACACCAGAGAACGCACACAGGAGAGAAACCCTTCAAGTGCACTGTGTGTGGGAAGGCAATTTCAAGTTCATCTGATCTTAAAAGGCACCAGGGAACACACACAGGAGAGAAACCCTTCAATTGCACTGTCTGTGAGAAGGCATTTTCACAGTCATCAGTTCTGCATCGACACCAGAGAACACACAGGCATCAGAAGATCGCCAAGGAGTGTAGTCTGAAATCGACTTGTGAAAGTCAAAGTGCTGCAATGAACCCATCCCTCCTGAAAAAAGAACCAGAAGTGAATTCTAGCTTGGACACTATGAAATGTTTCAAGGTGAAATTTGAAGAGGTGACGGTGAAGAGTGAAGAAGTGAAGGTGAAATGTGAAGATGAAGATTCAACTCCAAAACCGGACCTTCACATCAATGGAGGCAACGTGAAGCAGGAGGAGAATTCCGACTGTGAGGCAGAGCGAGGCAACTCCCAGCAGTTTGTGGAAGTGGAGGTGTGGGTGGACTTCTTAGACAATACAAAGTCAAATGGAGACCCTGTAGATGTGTAAGATTGAGACAATGAAGCCCGAATAGATTCACCTTTGTCACAGGCCTTTACTGAAAATAACTCCATACCTAGGTTCAACCTGCACAGCAAGAGCGCTCAGTATTTGTGGACTTGTGGGTTGGGTAGATCTTTAACTAGGGGATCTGAATTCTGATACCTGATAGAATTACACTAAAACAACCATTTTATTTTCACAATTGGTAATATACCCCTAGATAATTAAGCCGAGCCTAATTTAAATAAGCATATTTTAATCAAATGTCATTTTTTTCAGCTGCCACAGCAAGAAAAAATTATTGCTGTGGTTTTCACACCTGATGATAATTGTTGCAGTCACGAAAGCTTTAAATCAAAATTAATGAATACTTGTCTGATTTTGTGCGTACATGTGTAGTAGTCATAGATGGAGACGGAGTCGTAGTAGGAATTAAACTCTTTTATTTATATCCTTAACGATTCCCTAGGTCCTTAACACGAAGGGGTAACGGTTCCTTTTACCCACAACCTAGGGAGGTACAGCCTCCGGGCTAGCTTACTCTAGCCTTGGGTCGAACTACTACTCTAGCCCTCCGGCTAGCTGGACCTAGGGGAGGCTGACCCACCGCTGGCACCGGTGGGTCTTTGACCACTGGCCCGTCCAGACCCGGCCCTGAGAAGGACGTCGGGCTGAGGGAACTTCAGGGCCCTAGCCTGCTGATCACTGGCACCGCACTGAGCCCCGGCCCTCAGAAGGACGTCGGGGTTTGGGGTCCAGGATCTCCTCTTCAGGCGGCTCCACGGCTTCGGCTTGAGACGAATTGCCTCCTGGTCTCAGGAGCCCGCCTTTTATACCATTTCCCACCGAGGGGCGGGGGTTCCGAGGGATCACAGATCCCTCGCAGGCCCCTCCCCTCAGGAGAGGTGCTGGTCACAGGGAGCCCAACAATCTGTGCTTGTTCGACCCCACTTTCTGTCTAGGACCAGGGTTCTGGGGGATCCCATACACACACACACTTCACAGCCTCTACCCCTCAGGCGGGGTCTCCATCAGGGTTATGAATGACCTCGCTCTGGTAGTTACTGTGTAGCATGTGCGTGTTTACAGAGTGACCACCACACATGTAACATTTTGTCTATACGATCTTTAACAAAAATAACGCGAAGTTTAACACTCAATTCCTAGGTTCAACCTGCAGAGTAAGAGCGGTCAGTCTTTGCGGACCTGCGGGTTGGGCAGATCTCTAACTAGGAGCCAGAGTCAATAAGCTCCCAAGCATTCACTACGTTATAATAATACTAATATTAGCATGTATATGGTGCTTGCTTAATCACCTCAGCAACTCGGAGTTTTGTACCACATCTCATCACAAACACTCGAAGAGCACGCCGTTTAGCGTCCTCTGGTCTAACACCGTTTGAGACGAGGCTCAAAAGAAAGCTGTCTCTGGTGTGGACCAATCAGTTTCAAAGACAACGCCATCATATTATCAGAGCGTGTTTTTTGTTTGCATTCTGACCACAAGTATTGTGGTTAATGCATCGACGTGATTCCTTGTGAGAGGTTTCAGTTTGGTGTTTTAACATCTCGACACCTGTTTCCAGAAAAAAGTAGAAAACCTATTCTCACTCGAAGAGCATGTTTGAATATACAGTAAAACCTTGGATTGCGAGCATTATTCGTTCTGGAAACGTGTTTGTAATCCAAAGCACTCGTATGTCAAACCTAATTCCCCCATAAGAAATCATGGAAACTCAGATGATTCGTTCCACAACCCAAAAATATGCATGTAAAAATGATTAATACAAAATCCCTTTTTATATTTTTATTATTTAAATTTAATGTTAAGTAATCGAATTTATAAATTAAATTTAATCGTGGCTGGTGTGAGGGAGACGAGAGAGAGGAGAGGAGGAGGGTTATTGTGTAGGACGACTTTCACTGTCACTAACTGAATCACCGCCATCTGTTGGCGCAGTGGAATGCGACTCTAGCAAGGAACCTATCCCAATGACACTCGCTTTTGCCTCCTTTTGAGGATTTCGCGGAAATGTGACATTGCATTGTCGTTAAACAGATTCATCGCTTAGTGTTGTGACCACGTGTATACTGTTTACAACAGTACTATAGTGTTGTGACCACGTGTATACTGTCTAATACAGTACTATAGTGTTGTGACCACGTGTATACTGTTTACTACAGTACTATAGTGTTGTGACCACGTGTATGTATACTGTTTACTACAGTACTATAGTGTTGTGACCACGTGTATACTGTTTACTACAGTACTATAGTGTTGTGACCACGTGTATACTGTTTACTATAGTACTATAGTGTTGTGACCACGTGTATACTGTTTACTATAGTACTATAGTGTTGTGACCACGTGTATACTGTTTACTACAGTACTATAGTGTTGTGACCACGTGTATACTGTTTACTACAGTACTATAGTGTTGTGACCACGTGTATACTGTTTACTACAGTACTATAGTGTTGTGACCACGTGTATACTGTTTACTACAGTACTATAGTGTTGTGACCACGTGTATACTGTTTACTACAGTACTATAGTGTTGTGACCACGTGTATACTGTTTACTACAGTACTATAGTGTTGTGACCACGTGTATACTGTCTACTACAGTACTATAGTGTTGTGACCACGTGTATACTGTCTACTACAGTACTATAGTGTTGTGACCACGTGTATACTGTTTACTACAGTACTATAGTGTTGTGACCACGTATATACTGTTTACTACAGTACTATAGTGTTGTGACCACGTGTATACTGTTTACTATAGTGTTGTGACCACGTGTATTCTGTTTACTACAGTACTATAGTGTTGTGACCACGTGTATACTGTTTACTACAGTACTATAGTGTTGTGACCACGTGTATACTGTCTACTACAGTACTATAGTGTTGTGACCACGTGTATACTGTCTACTACAGTACTATAGTGTTGTGACCACGTGTATACTGTTTACTACAGTACTATAGTGTTGTGACCACGTGTATACTGTTTACTACAGTACTATAGTGTTGTGACCACGTGTATACTGTTTACTATAGTGTTGTGACCACGTGTATTCTGTTTACTACAGTACTATAGTGTTGTGACCACGTGTATACTGTTTACTATAGTACTATAGTGTTGTGACCACGTGTATACTGTTTACTATAGTACTATAGTGTTGTGACCACGTGTATACTGTTTACTATAGTACTATAGTGTTGTGACCACGTGTATACTGTTTACTACAGTACTATAGTGTTGTGACCACGTGTATACTGTCTACTACAGTACTATAGTGTTGTGACCACGTGTATACTGTCTACTACAGTACTATAGTGTTGTGACCACGTGTATACTGTCTACTACAGTACTATAGTGTTGTGACCATGTGTATACTGTTTACTATAGTACTATAGTGTTGTGACCATGTGTATACTGTTTACTACAGTACTATAGTGTTGTGACCACGTGTATACTGTCTACTACAGTACTATAGTGTTGTGACCACGTGTATACTGTTTACTACAGTACTATAGTGTTGTGACCACGTGTATACTGTCTACTACAGTACTATAGTGTTGTGACCACGTGTATACTGTCTACTATAGTACTATAGTGTTGTGACCACGTGTATACTGTTTACTACAGTACTATAGTGTTGTGACCACGTGTATACTGTTTACTACAGTACTATAGTGTTGTTTCAATGAGTGCTGCTGAGATTCGTGGCGTCTTTTAAGCTCGGTGATAGGTGTGAATGACCTTAGAGTCGCGGCATCTCTTCAGGATCCTTCAACAGACTCCGGGACAAGAAAGCTCAACTAATCGAGTCTCTCACCTTTCTGAAGAGATGCCGTGATTCTAAGGTCATTCACACCTATCACCGAGCTTAAAAGACGCCACGAATCTCAGCAGCACTCATTGAAGCACTGTCGTCCCGACAGTTCTGTTCTTTCACCTGAAGAAGGCCGCTTGTGTTGTGGCCGAAACGTCGTGAGAATTTTATTGTCTTATTTTAATTTTATTCTCATTCTACGTGACTTTACCGAAAGAACCAAAGAAGATGATTCCCTGCAGTCACGAAAGCTTTAAATCGAAATGTCTATCTTCAACCTCAGGATATCAAAATATAACTTGAGAATAAGAATCACGGATCCCTGGTGATACAGACGGGGAACAAAGTTTAATAAAACCCTCAGAATATATTTGGTAACAACTATGGTATACCACAAATCTTGGTTAAGCATGAACCAAATAATAGTTATGAAAGTATTAGACCTAGGGTCATTCAGAAGAGCTACAATGCGAAATGTGGCAATCACACACGACCAAGATAATATGTATTCCACGGGATCAAAGCCTCGCCAACCGCCTTTGTCTTCCAGTAGCTAACAGCACATGGTAGCGGTAAATTATGTATGCAGGGGGGCGCCTCCCCTAATATATCAATTACCACGCAATAATTCAAAACCACGACGCGAGAGCTGTGAACGCTGCTCAAAACATACTTCAAGTCACTTGCAGGGTCAAAACTGCGGAAAGTGGTACGGTACCAAGCTGTAAGGGGTGAATGATATTCTATTTTGACTTCCTACCCGTGATGAGAGAACGGAATTACATGGCGACAGCAAGCACACCCGTGCACAATCGTTCACGCCTTCAAAAGGCCACAAGCGCCCCCTTTTTGAGAGAGACTGCAAGTCCGATGCGAAAAAAATTTTGCAGCACTTCCAGCCCGTGATGGGAGCGTGGGGAACGTTGCCCAAAACGTGAACAGAAACATGTCGGTGATAAAGAAAATCCGGACAACAAAACAGCCCCCAAGTGACTTCAAAGGGAAAACAGCTGCCCCTTTGTGAGAAGAAAGAGCCTTGAGGTGGGGAAACAATTCAGATATGAGCAAGAACGCAAAAACAGAAATCGGTTACTGCTCAAATAATCGCCCAGCTGCGACTGTGGAGAAGTCCGAACCATCAAGCGCAGCCGGGCGGCGCCGCTGAAATCCACACTTCGTCGACCACATCATTGGACCGGATGAGGAAGCTTTGCATTAATTTGTGACGCTCATTAAAAACTGTTGCTTTTCACAATGCCATACGAAAGACGAAGTACTGGGAGTGGCAGGGTCCAGGGATCGCCCTCGTGACTGGAAAATTGATAGGGAGCGCTGCATCGGCAGAAGCCACGCATCACGGAGAGTTATTTTTGCGTCATTAAGATAGGCTTCCAGCCAAGGCTGGTGCTCGCAGTATTACAATACAAACGTGGGGGGGGGGAGTGCTGTAACATTACTTTTCCCGGTGGCGAGGTCGCTGTGTACAGTCAACACATACGATCATAGTGACAATCGTTCCAATTGTGCTCCGATCAAAGTCAACCCCTTCTAGCGAAAGCTGGTGCAACCACTCACTATTCGTGAGAGTGCCCCTTCAAATCGCAACCCCGCAGGCGAAGTTTAGTTGAGGGTCGGATCGGAGACTGACACGGAACGATATAACTTGATCTGTAGCGTGGCCTCTGTACAGGCAACTGGAAGAGGACTCTTGAAAAGGGGGGGGGGGGGGAGATGGCAGGCACTATCTCTCCAAGTCGCTCCACAGTCTACAAGGACCAACAGTGTCTGGTGCCAAGGGGGGTGACGCGCGGCAACCAGCGGACGAGCTGCGAGCGGCGTCTGGCGACGGGATGATGGTGCGCATCTACGGAGACGTAGCCGGACCCATCATCCCTGCCAGTACGGGCACCGCCGACAGCGTGACCAGCGCGCAGACTCGGCAACCACCCCAGCGGTGGAGAGAGACTGACGAAGCAGCCCAGAGCGCCTTGTGTTCAAACACGCCGACCCAGCGCCCCTGCTGGGGACCTGAGGAATTTTGTCGGTACAAGTTGTAGAGGTGTTACGGGAGGGTGTGACACGCGGTCGTAGGGCGGTGGCCACGAACACGTCCGCTACGGCCACCACCCTGGGGGACCGTGGGGGGGACGCTGTGATCCCTCCCAGCCACGCCCCTCGGCGAGGGACAGTATAAAAGCCGGGACCCGGAGAGCTGAGGGGGCAGTTCGACTCAAGCAAGATGAAGAGCCGGTGAAGAAAGAAGATCGACTAGCTAGATCAGGGG